TATATATATATATGTATATATATATATTGTAAGCAGCAACTGTTCTCACCAGGGCGTATCGCTGGATCGACTACATACGAGCATATATAAACTGAGTAGCGGTTTGTTTGCATTTTATTTTGCGTGTATATACCGTGTATGAGATGTTTTCATTGCCGGTTGCGAATTCCCCTGAAAATTTCGACAGCGTGCCTACTCTCTTTTGCAAAATCGATACAGTATAGCCAATCGCCATCCCCGCATGGGCCCATTCGGCAATCTCAACAAGGAACATCTTAACTGTAATCAAAACACGCGTTCCCGGAAATCGAGATGTTATTTACCACGGTCCTTGCAACGGATCTGAGTACACATCGACGTGATCTCGCAGTTGCTGATAAATCTCACAATACGACGACTGGTAGCCGACCTACCGACTTATTGAATAGGGGTGCATCGCTGGCTGTAAGGTGGACATGCCCCTTTGACGACACAGATATATAGCATATGCAGATGCAATAAATCGTCATATCATAACAAGGACTACATGTTGAGACTTGAGAGTGATGAGACTGTCGTGAACTTTGCCAGTTGTTCGTATTCTATGCTTGTCCCTTTCGAGAATCGAGGGTAAGTACATCCGTAATGCCCTACATAAATACATATTTAAATTCATAGTAGGTCTCTTGGTATATATGATTGTGTCAAGCACCCAAAATGACATCACGGCAAATGACTTCAGAAAAAAATGTATTTTAGTTCACTCCGGCGGCCTCACATGCACTCGCTGGATCAATTAATGAATTATACAATCAATAATATAAATACTAATATAGTGTGTGGGCTCAGGCGCAGTGGACGATTCGCTATTCAACTGAGAAATACCCATCTACTGCTTAATTTGATACACAAACATAAACGTACAATCGCACGGTTTTGCACTATGGGAAAGGGACGTTATCTTCCACTTAAGGTGGATAAAGTGAGACATCTGAAGAAACGCGTACCGAAAGGCGAGTGGCGAGCGTTATGTATACATGTCACAGTCTATATCGCGTAACCGTCACAGTTTATTAACGCGTATTCTGTGTGATGTGTAGTCCTGTTTATATCGCCACTCTCAATTAGTACCAACTCTAATTCAGAATCATGTATCTCATTCATGACCTCGAAAGTCAGAGTGCAGTGATTTACGTTTCTAGTATGCGCAATTATGATCTCCCAAAGCACGTAGTGGAAGCGACCTCAAATATGCGTTGCAACCTCCCGCGCACAGTGTATTTATTTGAAACACAGTGGAAAATTGAAGTTTCAAAGATCCGATACACTTATAAGTGAGTGTTTGTAATGTATATATATATATATATATATTATAAGTATATATATATGTGTGTGCGTGTATGTGTGTGTGTGTGTGTGTGGGTTTTATCTGTTAAAGAATATATTATACAAGTAGTACGTACGTACTACCTTACGTTCCGTTACTTACTTACGTAATTAACGTAAGTTAATTAATTAATTAATTAATTAATTATTAATTAATTAGTTAGT